TCCTAGATTCATACTTCGTACATTCCATGTTCCGATGATTAATGGATGTCTGCAGCTGTTTCTCTTCAATTTGAGTGGTGCCACATCAGCAAATGGAGGGCTCGAAAGCTTTACCTTATCAATAGGAGTAAGGCTGGGTTTACTCAGATGATGCAGCTCTTTCCCAGTCCTATTTTGAGAGCCTTCTGACCTAACTGGACTATTCATAAAGTTGTGCAGTAATGTATCAAACAGTGTTTCTTTGCTATTCATAAGGTTTTCCCTGGCCAATTCTTTGAGAAGTGGACAGTCTCCTCCTTCTTCCTAGTCTGTCTCAGTTTGTAAGCTAGGCTGATACCTGTGCACCATGTGCATCCCGCTGGGTTTGAAACACCAGTGGCTGAGTTTCAAAACTCACATCAACACATCACCACGGTAGGACAAACCGACAGACAAGTTTGTCTCCCTGTTGGAAACCTCTCTTACCACCCTTACCTGGGTCTCTAAGGCTGACTCCTCCTCTGCCAGATTCCTAGGCTTTTTAATCCCCTTTCTCGCACTCTCCCGCCCTGCTGCTTTGGGCGTGCCTGAGTTCCTTTCCTCACCTGGATCCCTTCCGCTGACTACTCCTGTCTTGGTTCCTGGCTTTGAATCCTCTTTCTCCCACTCTCCCACCCTACTGCTTTGGGCGTGCCTGGTTTCCCTCTCTTCACCTGGATCCCTGCGGCTGACTGCTCTGAGGTGGTATCACTACGGAAGTTGATTGCCCAGCCTTCCTTCTGAGGAGGGTTTGGTGCATTTGAACTGCAAGCCTTCTGGTTAGCAGTCAAATGTCTTAGGCACTACACCACCAGAGCTCCCAACAATTTATAGCATTCATAAATAATGAAATTATATGTATTTAGTAATATTCTGAGAAATCTAATGCATATTGAAAGCAAGGTGGGAACTTCTTTTAGATAGGAACTGGCCTTAGTACCTTTCTCTTCTGATTATCTCCCCTGAACTTTAGGTTGCTGCAGTTTGTTTCTTCCAGTATTCTGTCAGCATCTATGTTCCAGGTGGGTCATTCAAGGGACACAGCTCCTCTTTACTGCACATGGTAGGGGGCCAGAACTGGCTAAAACTAGTTCTTGCCTTTTCCTTAGCCTTAAATCTTCCTGGTTCCTGCAACACGCAGTGATTAAGTACAAGCTAACACAGTGCATTTGACTGCGAACAAGAAGGTTGGTAGTTCAAACCCACCAGCCACTCCTCAGAAGGAAGACTGAGCCAGCTACTTCCATAGAGATACCGCCTTGGAAACCCAAGGAGGGGATGCTGATAATTCCAAATTTTCTGTCATATCTGAGTCTGTTCTGATGTTTGCTTTGTGTGTGAAAGCTGTGCTTTTTATCTTTTAGTTTGCTGTTTAACTTTTTGTTGAAAGATGGACAGAAAGATGGGTATGATGTACTGGATAAAAGAGACTAGTAAATTGACCTTTAGTATGATGTTTTATGTTTATGTGGCTAAAGGTAAGCTGTTGTAGCTAGGTGTGAGGGGAAAATTTTCCTGTTTTCTTTTTCCCCCTACCCTCTTATCTTTGGGCTTTACGTAAATCAGTTTTATTAAATGAAGGAGCCAGAGGTAAGGACCTTAAGGCAAGCATGACTTTACTGGGAGACACAGACTTTACTGAGAGGAAGATCTCAATGTTGTTTGAGCTGAGTGGGGTGTTTCCTTTGTCTCCTTGCCATCGTGCCCACGCGGGCTCTGGGTCATTTATGTTGTTATTGGAGAATAACAACCAGAATGACAATAGACAATAGAAGTGTGTGTGTATGAACACAAATGGAGTTGTGAGGAATTTAGGCTTCAAATACAAATTGACCTGCATTCTGACCCTGCCTCATCCGCATTTGAATTGGGCAACATTGAGCATATGATTAATTCATTGTCACTTAAGTTTACTTGGCTATGGACCTATTTCAAAGGATGTGTGTTTAATAGAGTCATTGTAATTGATATGTAATTCTTTTTCCAAAACTTTTCTCATAATTAGTTGCTCAATAAATATTACATTTTATCATTAATGTATATTGTAGTACTAATGTATGTGAGGGCTTTTGATGACTTAGAAATATATAACATAATGTGGAAATAGGTCTTTCATTTGTAGCGGATTGCTCTCCCTTCTCCTGCAATGCAGGAGACTTCGGATTTTGCCTGAGGAAGGAAGCTTGTTTTGACACCATCGTATCAGGAATGATTAGACGTGACCTCATCACCCACTGCTCTGACAAATGAAGGCTTCCTATTTTTTAGCTGCTCTGCTGTTCAGTCCAATTTTACTATCAGAAGTTTGACATAGCAGTCTTGTTTCCTCACTGCATGTGAAGTCCAATCTGTTGAATCTTTTTCTTAGATTCTCATCCTTAGTGAGACCCCACTGCCTGGGCGGTTTCAGACATCATGGTTCAAATAATCATATTCTCATATGCCTTTTAGGGATTGTGGATGTGAGAAGATTTTGAGGTAGAACTTCCATAGGGTTGGTGTGTAAATTTTTTAAGATTCATGGACAAATTCTAGTGGGTCTTATAGAAGAATGTGAAATTGTTTTGTTTTGTTTTTTTCCCACAAAGAAATGATTGTCTAAACGTAGAAATGGGTCTTTCATTTGTAGTGGATCACACTTCTTTCTGCTTTGTGTTTTGGACTCTGAATACTGAGAGGAATGAGACAGAAATTGGTCAGTGTCAAATTGTGGAAAGAGTAAATTCTTGTGTTAGAAATATTACTAACTCTGTGAGATAGGACTCCAAGAGTCAGGATGTAAATGTAGACAACAAATGGAAGAGGCAGACAGCCAAATTTATAACACAGAAATTTGTGCAACTTTTCTATGAATTCTCTGTTCCCCTGCACTGACAGTCTCACCTGTCCTTTTACACACATTGAGGAAGATGGCACCTTACTGATCCAGAATGTGTGGGATGTTTTAGGACTCAGTGGTGTTTGAGGATGTGGCCGTGGTCTTCACCCAGGAAGAGTGGGCTTTGCTGGATCTTGCTCAGAGGAAACTCTACAGAGATGTGATGATGGAAATCTTCAGCAACTTGGCCTCAGTTGGTAAGGAGAACTTCATTTTTTTTTTTTTTTTTTTTCTGTTAATGAATGTATGTATTGTATTCCTGACCTTGCTTCAAGGATTGGGTTGAGCAATTGGAATACATTGGAACACATAACACACATTCCCTGCCCTCCTATAACTTAACCACTAGAGTCTTTCCTCTGAAAGCAAAACTCTACATATTAATTTTATATTTCTCTTCTGGTTAAAAGCCTTGAGGGTCTTTAAGTGTTTTAAATGAGTGCATTGGCTTCAGGGATCACTGCAAGGATTACAGAAAGATTTGTTGATTGGTACCTCATTACAGTTCTGTATTTATCACAAATATGATGTGATTGTTTTGCTGCAAATAAACTCATACCACTCCATCTATAGAGAACAAAGTACAGTGCAGTGTCAAGGAAATGTTGCTCTCTACTGTCTTCCTTCATGTTCTGCCTTTCCATGAACACCTTTTCAGCCACACTCATTTGTTCTCCTAGGAAGAGATCTAAGGAGAATGGAGTTAGGACTTACCCAGACCCATGGTGGCAGGACACACTCAAAAGGCAAGAATTCTTTGAAGGACAAGCTCTGCATGGGGGGAATTACATTTGAATAAATTAACTTGAAAATGTCTCTTTTGGTTTGAGGAGGCTAAACTTCCAGATACATATGACCTTTTTTTTCTTTTTTTTAAAGTTTCCATCAGTCCTCTCATGGCTTCTATCTTCATAGAACAGATCTTCTCCATTTCTTTTTTAACATTACCTATGTACACATGCATTGTTTGCAGTAGCTTTCCACTGTGCTTTCCTAGTAGTACCATAAGTATGAAACTCACTTTCAATCATCAAGGAATTATTTTGGTGAATTACTTAAACTTTTGACCATTGCCAAAGTCCTTGAACATTCAAATTCCTTAAAGTCTTTTCATGTTCACAAGTGCTTTGCTCTTCATAAAAGTTCCTTACCATTCTGTTTCATATTGTAAAAGAAGTCCACTTAAAACATTGGGTCAGTTTCTCTACAGGTTAATAATGGGAAAATGGTACCCAGTGAACGACTAATAATGGGATTCATGAAGAATGTCTCCGGGTACACCAAGATAGGAAAAATCTGTAAATTCCATGGCATTGAAGAGAAGCACAACAAGAGGCAGAATATGAAGTGAGTATCACCCACGTGAGTGTGGGCAGTACCGCAGGAGAGAATATTAAGTTACTACTACATTTAAGTGGGTGTGTGTGTATAAAAAACTAGCTCTAAATTTATATGTTTACATAATATTCACACTGTATTTTATAAATATTAATAAGCATATGAATATTAAACATACTTCACTTGCACACAATTTTCAGAGCCCTATTATTTAGAAACACGATAAGCAGTGGAATTGAGAGTTCTGGTAAGATGGCGGAATAGGCAGAAAGACTGCACAGACCCTCTTCAACAAAGAAAAGGTGAACTAATTAACATAGATACAGAAGGTAATCCTGGACCCCTGAGCCTTGAAAGGAAGGATATAAAAGTGAATTAACCCCAACTAGCAGAAAAATTTGCATGAAAATACCAAAAAAGGAGACATGGAGCTATGGTCTGGCAGCGATACTGATGACACAGACAGCTTGGATATTGCCGAGTGGTGGTAAGACCTAAAAATTAATCTAAAAATCAGCCATGTTAGCCAGTGACTGCACAGAGGACTGCTCTGGTGGCTGGGGAATAAAAGAGGAGGCAGCGAAGAGGACAGCGGTCTGAGCTGTGGACTTTTAGCTGTCTAGAGCGTGAAGCCATTTTGAATGTTTACAAGCTGCTTGACCATTTTGGATATTTAAAGTGACAGCATTCTCCCAGATTCCAGGGGCTTAAGAAAAGACTCTAACTGCCAGTAACCACAAGGACATTCCAGACCTGGACAACTGGAAAGGTGTGACATTCCTGTTATTACTCTTATACCCCACACCCTCTTGGTGAATGGAGATGCAGCAATCTCCCACTCCCACCCACCTTCTGGGCCCACAGGAACTCCATCCCAGTCTGTGTGCTCTGACCGAGCCTCGGTGTCCGGCCCTGCCCTCCCCCAATTTTTTTTCCTTTTTTTTCTCTTTCTTTTTTCTGTTTTTTAGTTTCCTTATTTTTGTCTGTTTTAAAACTACTACTATTATTATACCGGGAGCAAGGTAAGCATGGGCGGGCTTGTGCTTACTCACTGACCTGCACTGAACACTTTCCCTTGTTACCCTCCCGAGAGGGACTGGGTCTCCGGGAGCAAGGTAAGCACAGGCGGGCTTGTGCTTACTCACTGATCTGCACTGAACACTTTCCCTTGTTACCCTCCCGAGAGGGACTGGGTCTCTGGGAGCAAGGTAAGCACGGGCATAGCACAGAGTAGCAAGCCGGAAGAGCAGGAGAAAGGGGTAAAACCCAGGAAGCCACAGAGAAGAGCAATCAGCCAAAGGGATTAGGTGAGGAGGGGAAACTCAGGCCCGCCCAGAGTAGCAGGCCGGAAAAGCAGGAGAAAGGGGATAAAACCTAGGAAGCCAAAGAGAAGAGCAATCAGCCGAAGGGATTAGGTGAGGAGGGGAAACTCAGGGACGCCCAAAGAAGCAGGCCAGAAGAGCAGGAGAAAGGGGATTAAAAGACAGGAAGCC